TATAATAAAACAATGGTCAAAAGATTTTCTTTTGACTCTGAACTGTGCAGTTTTCTTCCCTTAATTCTGAAAACATTAATCAGCAAAAGAATTCACTTGATGCTCATAAACAAACCTGCAGTAAAAAATAGGTCAGAACTGTGAATTCATCCCAGAATTTACCAAGACTGCTGGAGATGGGAAAAATAATTATGATATTTATGAGGTTTAGGTTGGATATCAGGAAAAGTTTGGGCACTGGTACAGGCTCCCCAAGGAAGTGGTCACAGCATCAAGCTTGACAGAGTTCAAGGAGTATTTGGACAATTCTCTTAGGCACATAGTAGGATTCTTGGAGTGTCCTGTGTAGGGCTGGGAGTTGGACTTGATGCTCCTGATGAGTCCCTTCTAACTCTTCATATTCTGTGATTTTGTGGTTCTATGATCTATGTGAAGTACCCTTTGGGCTGCGCTTTTTTCCCCTGAACTGTATATAATACACAAAGGAACAACAATTATTTTCTGAATCAGGGTTAAAAGGAACAAGAGAATAGAAAAGAGCTATGAACACAGCAAGGTTAACTGGGGAACCAACTGAGGGTATTAGTTGATCCAATGATAATTAATCTTGCCCAAGTTTGGTTCTCCTATGGATTTCTCACCTACTCAGGCTTTGATAAACATTACTACATAAATCAGCCAGAATTAAATGAGCTTAGGACCAAGCTATCCATGAGATCAGTCAGGGCACTGGGAATGTGGGAGCTGGGTTTTCAGCACAGGAAGCTATAAACCCCAGAGGAGCCCTTGGTGTTGTGCCAACCTCTCATCAGCACTTATCAGTGAAGCAAGTGAGAAAATACAAGTCAGAGAGAACAGCAAAACAACAGGGCTAGGTTTATGGGCCCTATTTTAGCACCTTTTAAAAGGTGATTGTTGATGTAATCATAGACATTGAGGAATAGCACTGTTTCAAATCCTTGCTTATGTGCACAACTTTTCAGTAAATCCCTAAAAGTGCATTTGCTGTGGTCAGAGATTTTTCTGTAATGCTCCCAGCAGTTCTTCAAAGCAGGTGGGTCACTGATGTCCTGGCAGTGGTTGCTTTTCCCCCCTGCTTGTGGATACCATTTAAAGCACTCACTGGCAAACCAGAGCAATGCTACAAAAATGCTCTGTTTCACATATGGGGATGTTTATTTGACTTGTTTTGAACAGGGTCCTTCCTAACCAGAAATGGTGTATCAGCTGCAGGATTTGTAAAGAAAGAGAGGGAGATTTGTCTACTCCTTGTGGATAAGTGTAGTTGCCAACACTGCCACGCTGGTCAGACCAAGGTTTTGATGTGTAATTTAGAACAGATGTTTTATCTGGGAACTTGTCCAGATCTTAAAAAAAAAAAAAAAAGGTGAGAAACTCAATAGTAGACTGTTTTGTCAGCAGCACTATCCTTGAAATCCTGAGGAAGTAGTGAGTAAATAGCTGGATTTCTAAGACACAGTAGAGAAGCAGAGAAGATGTGTGATTATCTTTGTGAGTGACTTACACTGCAGTGATGAACAAACTGGTTGTTGCCAGTCAAATGGACTGAACAAAGCTGCAAACCCTGGACATGTTAATATGCCCATTATTTTCACATCAATCCTCTCTTCTCATTCTGTTCTTTTGAAAAGAGCCCAAGAGTGACATCTTTCCTTCCCATCCACTGCACTATCAGCACCAGCAGAGACAAATGGCTTAAAGTATTATGGGACTGAGAATGCATGAGGCAACTTTGAGAGATATTAACTACTGCATTTCATGCAAAACTGAACTAATAAATACTTTTCCTCATAGATGTCCAAACTGAAAGGGGTTTTAATCCACTCAAAAGATTTCATAAGGCTCTATTATTTGTACAAGGACTATTCAGCATATAAGAAGGTACCTCCAAATTTATCTTTTTCACACTCTTCAATTACAACTCAGTCTTGCCTTTTCTCTAAATGTACTGTCCAATTTGTACTGCAAATGCCTTAGAGGATGTGCTGACAAAACTCTATTATCTGTCTGAAATACTTCTCAGACATCTTATGCCTTAACTTCTGAAGTCCTAACAGCTTACTAGAAAAAACTAGTTGGTTAATGCCCATGGAGAAAGAGTAAAAAATTAATAAACTACACAGTGCTTTTCCCCTGTCATTGTCTGGGTTCTCCCATCTTTCTTCTTGTGATAGTCCTTCAAGAAAATACATACAAATAAAACACGAACAATTAACACGGACAAATATACTAACAGGAATCCAAATGATACTATTTTGCAAAGTTCTCTTTGGGGCTATGTCCTTTTCCCTGAATTGTACATAATAACCAAATGAAACCGAATTATTTTCAGAATCATATGAAAAGGAACAAGAGAATGGAAAAACTATGAACACAGCAAGGTCAGTTGGGGAATCAACTGATTCTATCAGTAGATCCAAAGGGCAGAGGGTTGGAATTAGATGATCTTTAAGGTCCCTTCCAACTCAAACCATTCCATGATTCAAGACCCAGGGCTGCTCACTAAGTGATTGTGGAGAGGAGGAGGAGCAGAGAAGCAGGAGGTTGCTGAACAGGAGAGGCCAGACTGCCCCTGGGGCAGGGTCTGATAGCTTAAATAACACATTTCCATGCAACTCAATTTTCTACCCTGCTACTGAGCTCCTGCAGCGGTTTAAAAAGCAGGTATTCCAGCAGAAAGGGAGTGAAATGGGGATGGCATTGTGCTGGCACTGGTGATTTCAGAGTTTGCAACACACTATGCCTGGAAAACCACAGCTCTCCAGCAGGCCGGGCACTGGGTGACAGAAACCAGCACAGCTCTGTCTGGGAGCCTCAGCAATAACAAAGGTGTTGCTTTCAATTACTTTTTGCTGAGCCTACATACTGTGTAAAGCCACTGCAGCAAGTTGATAATGATGCATGAAATGGAAAATGCTCCTGAGCACACCCAAAAGCACTGTGAATAGGCAAAACAATCACAACAGAACCCTGTTATTTAGTAATTGTTACTATACGTGCCCACACTAATATATTCAGATTTTCGCTGGTTTTAAATAGGTCCAACTCCACCCCTTTTAATGTGCTTACTCCTGATTAACACAGTCTTTAATATGATTGGAGTCAGATGTACAGCAGTATTGAGTTCAGAAACAGAAAAAACCTGTGGGACTAAAGATGAAAACTTTCAGGGGCTGTCACTCCACTGATTCAAATCAAGAGACAATTTGCCCTGGTTGCCTCCTTGGCCTATCTGCCCTCTGAGGCCAGGGTAGCTGGGTACCTGGAGAATAAAACCACTGTGGGATTATATGTGCCACTGTCATACATCAGCAGTAGTTCTTTAAGCATTGCAAAACTTGCTGGAAATTGTTTGGAGAATTTTCAAAGTAAGTTTTCAATACTTTTCGATTCATCTCAGTCACAGTGCTACTCAAAGGGTTGCTGAAACAGCTTCAGGCAGTGGAGGAATCATAGAGAGATCACATGAAAAGCAGCCTGGTTTCTGCAAAGAAAGGATATTCGGTTCCTCTGCACCATTCCTCTGAACATTTTGACTACTTTGGAGACATTAAATACTGGAAATAGCTCAGAAAGCATTTGGCTCAACATCTATGTCTACATATCACAAGGACTACTATATAATGCAAGGATTTAAACCAGGTGTCAATCCATCCTAACTAGAATATAAACTACATAATGCCAAAAATATCATTAGAATGTAAGCACTGCACATAGCAGACTCCTAACTTCCTTCCAGGGATCATTCCATACCGAAAACCAAATACTGCACACACTGCCTCATGCACATTACACCATTAACTTTGTATTATCAATCAAAGAGAAATTTTTCTTACAGGATTAGCTTCCTCAACCAGGTGGCAGCGAGGTAAGATGAGATGTAGTACATGGGAATCAGATCATCCTGAATTTAGTATGGCTTAAACATTTGTTGAACTACAACATTAGCTGACAACAACGTTTGGGGACCTCAGCTGCGTTACAGGCAATTTTTTTCTTCCATAATAAACAGAGAGAGAAACTGAAGAGCAGTTCCCAGAGTTATCACTCAAACATAATGAAAGCAAGACAATGTAATTTTCCTTAAAGTGCAGACCAAGCATTTAGAGTTGCTCATTACAGCAGTACACGATTTATACTGTTATATATATGTTGGCAAGTGAAGGGGCTGATTCCTCCAGTTTAATTCTGGATCTTGATTCATGCTATGGAGATACTCAACTCTAGTTTCCCTACTGGTTCTACTAGTTTTTCCAAAATAGGGTGAAGTTAGGCTTTTTTTCCTCAACATTTGGTTATAAATTTCTCAGTTCTTGGTTGTAACATATCTCAACCCATGATCAGTAGGCTTTTCTTTTTTTATTGGTAACTTCTTTCTATGAAGTTCTGTGGTCTAATTTGAACATCCTGGCCTTGTAACGCATTAGCCAGTTCATTTGCTCTTAATTCAGTCATTCAGCATTCTGATCTGGAGATTTCTGTAGTTATGTGACTTCTCAAGCAGTTGCTCTATAAAATTCCACCAAGACTTTACAGCTCTCTAGCAAATTTAAGCAGAGGTTTGATATATTTTTTTAAAAAATCTCTATTAATCTCATGTTAATTACTTCTAATTAAGTTACCAGAACTGTAGATATATCTGGCACAGTGTTTTCATATTTCATGTTTTCAGTTTTTAAAATATGCATAATTACTGCCCTCTGGGGGGTGAAAATCCCTCCCCGAACTGAGAGAGACTTCTGCACCACAGGATGCAGCATATTCTGGGTCATCCTTTAAAAAGTCTCAGTTATAAATATAAAACTTCTGTTTGTCTCTCTTTTTTTTTTTTCTTCTAAACAGAAATTAAACTTTAAAGGAATGCTATGAAATTATGGGGTTTTAAATATCAGTGTTGGAGTTTTCTCGTTTTACTTCTTCTGCCACACTGGATATCTGTGACAGACACACAAGGCTCAAGCAAGGGGAGGTTTCCTCACCTGTGCACCAGCTGCTTGCGGCTCACGCAAATCGCGGTCTCGTAGTCGTGGGTGACGCACACTTTGTGTGGGCTGCACTTCACCTTCAGGCAGGGATCTTTGGATGGATCAAGGGCTATAAAAAAATCAAACATATTTAGAAAATAAAGTGAGGAATGCACACAGAGGTCTCTCTTGGCAGGCAGAGGGCAACTGGTTAGAATCAACACTCTCACACGTGGGTGAACAAATACTTTGATATTTTATAGTATGTGCTGATGTTTTCAGACTGCATGTTAAGTAGAGAAGTTTACATAGAAAGATAGATGGAAAGCTTAAAGACTTATTACTGAACAGTGATCTGAGTCTAATTGGCATTCACATTAATATTAGACGTGACACTTTGGGATGAAGTTCTGGTTTAACAATCTATATCATGCTGTTTATTTCACAGAAAAGCTATGTTTGGATAAAATGTACTCAAATAACAAAATGACCAGTATTTTAGAAGCTAACTAATAACTGATACAATGCAGAGTGGTAATAAATTTCTTTTCATAGATGCTGTGAAACAGGCATAATACTTTTAGAGATTATTTTTAATTTTTACAGTTAAGCATCCTCTGTATTTAAAATGCTTGAGTAGAAGAGCAGTAATAACAACAAAATAATTCTGGCTTTCATACAACAACCTGCATCACCAGCAGTGCTTTCAGAGTTGGGATTAGACAGCATGGTGAGTTGCCATCTCAGAGCAAATATGTCCAGGCTCTTGTCCCATTTGAAAGGTATCTGTCTAAATTCTTTTTTCTACAAAAGAAGGTTTCTAAAATTCAGCAATAAGACATTTTCTGCCAAGATGAATTACAAGTATTCAATATGTGGTTATGTGAACACTTCAGAAGGGAAGTCTCTGCCATACCAGTCACACAGAAAAATTTCACTTTTGTTTGAGAAATGATTTTTAGAGCAGCTCTTTTTGGACATTCTGTTGCCATGGGATTTGACTTCCTGTTCCTCTTCAATGTCTTTAAATCTCATTTTCCATCTCCCATCCCTCCTCACATCTTGATCCATTCTTGAAAATGAGCAACTCTTGGTTTCGTTTTGGGGATGGTATAAAGCTCTTACTTGCCCTTTATGATAACCATTTCCCATTTCTACTGAATAATCAAAGAAACCTTCAAAGGAAATTATTTGAAGAAGTTTCAGTTTGCTATGTACCAGATTTCTCTGAGAGAAAATATATTTCCAACAAGCAGAGGATTCTTCTATTTTCCTTCGAGTCTGAAGTGCTGCAGCTGTTTTGTGCTGGGTTAAACAGCCACAGCTACAAGATCCCGCCACATTAACACCCATTACACATTTGTGATGGGCAATTAAGCTTCGCTAGTGCATATGTATTTACTGGAATGCCTTTGGTGCAAGATGGGGAAATTGTAAAAATAAAGCAAAAGTGTTAAAAGCTTTTTCTTTTAAACCATTAAAACTGATAGAAGAGGTAAAGTGAACAAGGAAGGAGAAAAGACCATCTGTTTCCTGTTTTTCTGTGACCATAAACAATAAGGCAGCAACATTCAGCGTGTTGCCATTAGAAAGACACATAGGCAGTGTTTGAGGAGCCAGGGTCTGTCCCACTGGAAAGACCAAAGGCTGTCAAGGCTCTTCAGGGATGTTTTGCTGTTGCCTTTTGGTGTCTTTTTTAAGCCAGACAGATGAGAAGTATCCGATTCCCTGCCCTTTACATTCCCAGAACACAAACAGTGAGAGACACCTTCTTAATCCTCTTATTTCACTCTCATTGGAGACTGAGTTAAGGACTGACGCAGATCTTTGACAGGGATTTAAATGGCAAGCCACAGTTTCCTGAGCTGGCTATCTACTGGATATTCTTAAACTGCAAACCAATGAAACACCCTCCTTCTGCAAAGCCTTTAAAGAATGAGCACGCCTTGGAGTGTGCAGGGTCACCACATCATCATTTCAGTAGCTGAGGTAATTCAAAGGTCATATCCACACACGAATTTAATGACCAGAACTTTTGCTCACTTGCAGCTGGCCTTGCTCTGATGCTGGAGCCCATGAACATTGTTTGCTTTTGCTGGTGACACATCCTTGATGCAAAATGCTGCATCAACAAAAATCACTATGCAAACTGGCTGGGAGCCCAGGGCCAAGAGCTGCCAGGAACACTGGGCTGGTGGCGAGCACAGCCTGGCCTTATGCTCAGTGTTCTATCAGCCAAAACCTGAGGAGTGGGGATGTAGGTTTAACCTGGAAAGTCAACAGTAGTTTGGCATGAATAAGGAATAACGTTTAGGTTCACATGGTCTAGGTGACATCATGCACAGCTACAATACTTCACATTTTTTCACAGTAAAATTTACTCTAATTGGTGAATCCATTTCAGGAATTATTTAGGTCTTCTAAGGCAATAAAAATGCATGCAGTTCTGAAATAGCATCACACTATACATTACTGGTAAAAGTAACACAACTTTCAAATATTTTGCAATTTAAAAATTGTCTATCCAAAAAGAAAAAACATTGTTGAATAATCATCAGGAAGGAAAGCAATGGGAAGATATATGATTGGAAATCCTAGTCACTATTTCCTTACAAATCAGGCCTCAACTTTCAGTTCACCTCACCTAGATGACTTGCTTTTAAAATCTGAGAACAATAACAATGTTGACAATAGTAAATAAAGCAACTGATGTGTTGGGTGCAGTATTTCATTCACAGAATAAGAGAATCACTAGGTTGGAAAAGACCTTCAAGATCATTGAGTCTGACCCATGTCCTAACACCTCAACTAGACCATGGCACCAAGTGCCATATCCAGTCTCTTGTTTAAACACATCCAGGGATGGTGACTCCACCACCTCCCTGGGCAGACCATTCCAGTACTTGATCACTCTTTCTGTAAAAACTTTTTCCTAATATCCAACCTATATTTCCCTTGGCACAGCTTAAGACTGTGTCCTCTCATTCTGTCAGTGCTGCCTGGAGAAAGAGACCAACCCCCTGTGACTGCAACCACCTTTCAGGGAGTTGTAGAGAGTGACAAGGTCACCCCTAAGTCTCCTTCTCTCCAGGCTGAACAACCCCAGCTCCCTCAGTCGTTCCTCATAGAGCTTGTGTTCCAAACCCCTCACCAGACTGGTTTCCTCTGGATGTGCTCAAGCATCTCAATGTCCTCCCTAAACTGAGGGGACAAAACTGGACACAGCACTCAAGGTGTGGCCTCACCAGTGCCAAGCACAGGGGAAGAATGACCTCCCTGCTCCTGCTGGCCACACTATTCCTGACACAGGCCAGGGGCCATTGGCCTTCTTGGCCACCAGGGCACACAGGGCTGTTCACCAGTACCCCCAGGTCCCTTTCTGCCTGGGCACTGTCCAGCCACACCGTCCCCAGCCTATAACATGGCAGGGGGTTATTGTAGCCAAAATGCAGGACCTGGCACTTGGACTTATTAAACTTCATCTTACTTGACGCTGCCCATCCGTCCAACCATTCCAGGTCTCTCTGCAGAGCCCTCCTCCCTTCCAGCAAATCAACACATGCTCCCAGCTTAGTGTTGTCTGCAAATTTACTGATGAAAGACTCAATACCCTCATCCATGTCATCAATAAAAATACTGAACAAGAGTGGCCCCATCACAGATCCCTGGGGGACACCACTAGTGACCGGTCACCAGCTGGATGCAGCACTGTTCACCCCCTCTCTCTGGGCCCAGCCATCCAGCCAGCCTTAATTCAGCAAAGAGTGCTCCTGTCCAAGCCACAGGATGCCAGCTCTTCCAGGGAATGCTCTGGGAGACAATATCAAAGGCCTTGCTGAAGTCCAGGTACACAACATCCACAGCCTTTCCTGCATCCACCAGGAGGGTCACTTGGTCATGAAAGGAGATCAGGTTGGTCAAACACGACCTTCCCCTCCTAAACCCATGCTGGCTGGGTCTGATACCCTGGCCATCCTGTAAGTGCTGTGTGATGACATCAGTATAAACTGTTCCATTACCTTACCACGTACTGAGGTCAGGCTAACTGGCCTATAATTACCAGGATCCTCCTTCCTACCCTTTTTGTGAATGGGAGTCACATTGGCCAGCTTCCAGTCATCTGGAACCTCACCAGTGAGCCAGGACTGCTGGGAAATCCCTGGGATGGATCCCATCTGGTCCCATAGATTTACGAATATCCAAGTGGCTCAGCAGTTCTCTGACTGCCTCCTCCTGAATAGTAGGGGGACCATTCTGCTCCCTGACACCATCTACCAACCCAGGAGGACAGTTGTCCAGAGGACAAGCTGTCTTCCCACTAAAAACCAAGGCAAAGAAGGCATTAAGCACTTCTGCCTTCTCCTCATCTGCAGTTACTAAGTTCCCTCCCACATCCAATAGAGAACAAAGGTTGGTCTTACCTTCCCTTTGCTGTTAATTTATTTGTAAAACCGTTTTTTATTGTCCTTTACAAAAGCTGCCAATCGAACTGAGCTTTGGCCTCCCTATTTTTTTTCCTACATGCCCTAGTAACTCCCTTAAATACTTCTTGAGAGACCTGACCCTCCTTCCAAAGATGATACATCCTCTTTTTATTCCTAAGTTCCTCCAAAACCTCCTTGTCCATCCAGGCTGGACGTTCTCCTCATCAATTCATCTTTTGGCACACAGGGACAGTCTGTTCCCTGTGCCCTCAATATCTCTGTTTTGAAGCACACCCACCTTTCCTGACTCCTCTGTTTTTAAGGACTGCTTCCCAAGGAACTCTCTGAATAAGTCTCCTAAATAGACCAAAGTCTGCCCTCTTAAGTCCAATTGGAAAGTCTTATTGATGTTCCTCCTGATGTCACCAAATATCAAGAACTCTGTAATTTCATGATCACCATGGCCCAGGCGGCCTCCAACTACCACATCTCCCACCAGCCCATTTCTATTTGCAAACAAGAGGTCTAACATAGTCCCTCCCCTGGTGGGCTCGCTCACCAGCTGTGAGTGACAACAAACAGTCCTCCACACAAGCTCTAAGAACTTCCTGGACTGCCCCTTTTCCGCTGTATTAAGTTCCCAGCAGATGTCTGGTAGGTTAAAATCACCTATAAGAACAAGGGCTGGTGGTCCTGAAACATTCTC